GCCGGGCGGCGGGGAGGGGGGCGGCGCCGGCTTTGGGCTGGGGGGCACCGGCGAGTGAGACATGTCTGGCGCTGAGTGGTAGCTAGCCCACGCACAGACGCCGCCGCCGCCGCTGCTGCTTCTGCTCCTGCGCCCGCTCCTGCTGCTCTTGCTGCGCTGCTGCTGCTGTGCACAGAGCCACGCTGGCCCTGGTTTGCGGCACGTTTGCCAGGCAGGGCGGTGGCAACGCAACCACCCCCAAGCCGGCTGACTCTGATAACAGCGCCGGCTAAGCACTCAGGTCTGCCTCTTGCTGGCGCTGCTACAACCCGCTGGCAGGCTTGCCAGTGAGCTCAGCTGGGCGTGGCGTGCGAGCGCGACGCAGCAGCACGCGCACGGACGGCTCTGCTCAGCTCAGCCCGGGAGTCGAGCTGAAGGGCCTGACTGTATCCGAATGTCTAACGCACTTAGTGTTTCATAAAGCAAGGCGATGGGTGGCATCACCGCCGAAATGTTTCAACGCGGTCAAAGTCTGCTTACATCAAGGTAGCAAGAATTCAATTACAAAAGTGAGGAATCCACCTACTGTTGGATACGACGGCATGACCGGGATTATCATGCGACAACTGGACAGCTAGATCACCGGCAGCATGATTTTTCGGCAACATCGATCTACATAGAACCAACAGGACACAGGTGCTGCATTAGAATGCACTTGATGCCAAGCATAAATCCCTCCACGACATCCAAGTCACCACTGCACGAGCTGCACGCGTCCCATTGTGTAGAATCATAGAAGGGCTGCTCCTACATGACATCCAATTTTGGCACGCACCCGCGCACATGCAGCACCAGCAATCTTGTTGCTAGCAGCAGCAGGGGTAGCAGCAGAAACCTCGATCGGCGTGTGGTCGCGCACGCGGCGCTCAAACGCGCCCAGCCAGTGTGTGCACCCCTGCCGTGCGGCGGGCACAAACGGGGCAACGCTCGCATCCAAGCCCTGCCCCCGTCCAAGGGTGCAACCAGCATGACCGTGCCGATCAGCCAGCAGGCGGTTGTCAACAACAGCGCAGCGGCACGAGCTGCGGCTGAGCAGCTGCGGCAGGAGCAGCCCGAGCTGCAGGCACCGCCCCTGGAGCTCCGGCCCGGCGAGGTCGCTTATTTCGCTTACGGCTCCAACATGGCGCCCGCCATCCTCACCGGCCGCCGCCGCGTGCGCCCGCGCCTCAGCCTGCCCGCCGCCGCCCCCGGCCTGCGCCTGTCGTTCGGCATGCTCGGCTTCCCCTTCGCCGAGCCTGCGTTCGCGACCCTCGTCCCAGCCGGCCACCCGCTCGCGGCCGGCGGCGCGGCGGCGCCGCCCGCGCACGGTGTGCTGCACGTCGTGTCCGCTGAGGAGTGGCGGTGGATCTGCACGTCTGAGGGCGTGGGGAGCAGCAGCGCGGGCTACCAAATCGCAGCCCTGGAGTGCGAGCTATACAAGCCTGGGGCCGCGTGGCGCGGCGGCGGCGGCGGCGGCGGGGGCGGCGGCGGCGGCAAGAGGGTTGTGCGGGCGGTGACGCTGCAGGTGCGCCGTGGTGCTGGCGGGACCACATGTTGCCATGAGACATGCCAGGGAGACAGGCGCTCCCCCTCGCAGCGGGGTCGGAGAGGGGGTGTCTTCTCATCCATGCCTGCCTGGCCCAAAGGCTTGGCGGCTGCCATCCGCCCACCTCCCGCGACCCTCTCTACAACCCGCCTTGTCGCATCTCTCGCGCCCCGCGCCCGCCACCGCAGGGCGCCCCCGCCTCCCTCCACAGCAGCGCCCGCGACGCGCTGCCCTCCCAGCGCTACCTCGGACTCCTCACTACAGGCGCGCGGGCAGCAAGGGGGCGGTGACCCCGCGCAGTGCCCCTCCGCTTGGCAGGCGGGGGCACCGGCGGGCTGCCGTGGACGCGCACACGTTGCGGGTTGTGAACACGACATGCCGTGCGCTTGACGACGTGGATGCAAACCAATCACCCCGTCTGCACACCGCGCCGTTCCCGCCCATGCGCCACCCCCTTCCTGGTCTACTATTGTTGCGGCCGCAGGCGCCGCGCACCACGGCCTGGACCCCGCCTACAGATCGTACCTCGAATCCCTCGAGCCCTACGCCGCGCCCGGCCCCCTCTCCGCCCCCTGGCGCGCGGCCGGCGCGGCCGCGTCCGCCGCCGTCCTCGTCTCTGCCGCGGCGCCGGCGCTGCCGCTCATCGCCGCGACGCGGCTGCTGGGGTCGCCGGCGCGCACGCAGGCGGATGCCAAGGTGGGCGCCGGCGGCGGCCTGGCCCCGGCCGACGGCGTCGCGGGGCTGGACCCTGACTCGTCCGCGCTGATGGTGGCGTCGTCATACCTGGGGGCCGCGGCGATGCGCGCGACGTGGGCCGTGCACGACGCGGTGCTGTCCGGCGTTTTTGGCAGCGGATGCAGCAACCGCCAGTGAGCCGCCGGCGGGCCCTTGCCATTCAAGAGCACCTCAATTTTTTCAGTAAATCGTGATGAATTACCGCTGGCATGCGGCATTCATTTCTGAGCCCATGCCGCCCTGCTGCTCCAACACCTGTATCATTTCTCTCACGAGAACCTGAATTTTTCTTCATCCTTACCAAGCTGCGGTCCCGGGCTCAGAGTTTTTCAACAGGACAAGTGTGTTTTAGGAGGCCTGCCCAACTGATTGTGCCACTGGCATCATTTGTCTTTTGTTACTTGTCCTATTGAACCTGGGTGTCACTGCGCACAGGCGCAAAGTGAGAAAGAAAGCGCTCACAGGAGCAGTAGGTACTGTGGTCAAACGGCAAGTGCAGCCTTGTATTCAAGCCATGACAGCACCAACCAGGCTGCAAGCTCAAGCATAGTGGAGAACAAGGGGCTTGGGGGAGGGGGAAAGACCCAGAGATGGCGGCAACAATTCGCTGGCGACAGCGACAAGGCCATGCGCATGCGACATCAACTTGTTGTCAAGGCATCTGCCCTCCTCACTATCCTATCCAAGCGTCCTCCTGGTCCCCTGCGTCCAACCCCCCGCGAGGCATCGCAGCCCCGGCCTAGTTCGCGAGCCCCAGCAGCCCGCGCCAGCCGCCGCCGCCGGCGGCCAGCGCCTGGGCTTGTGCCTGCGCCTGCGCCTGGTTGTAGCCGCCGTAAGGCGCAAAGCCGCGGTTGAAGTAGGGGTTGCCAAAGCCGCCAAAGCCGCCGAAGCCACGCTGGGTGTACGTGGCGGCGGTCGCCTTGGCGTTGGCCTGGCTGGCGCCGCCGCCGAAGCCGCCGCCGACGGTCACGGCCTGCGCCTTCGCGTTGGCCTGGCTGGCGCCGC